CTGAATTAGATTAAGAAAAATCAGAAAATCAACCATGCTTGAAGCAGATATTATAAATTCATACATACAATATTTCAGATGTTGAACTAGCTCTCACAGCATTACACCTCCAAGGTAAAGTATTGTTTAATTTACTGGTTTTATACAACTTTGCTCTTTTCCCTTTATAGTATTAAAAATTATTGAAGTATGTGATTCCTTTTCCTACAAGAAACCAAAGAATGGGTTGAGAATAATCTGAGTGTCTTTCCAACATGCAAACAGGAAAAAAAGGGACAATTCATATTTAACTTTCTCTGAGTTCAAAGTTTGTGCATGGAAGAGACCGTTCTGGCATTCCATTTCGACGCTAACACACATGAGAGATGACATCTACCATGCTCCTTTCCTGCTCTTTTGAGACAGGCAGATGGATGGACAACAGGGTACTTCCCAAAGCCCATACCCAGTGGATTCCCACCCTCAGCAAACCTGTTAGACTAATGGTGAAGAAGACACACATGTGAGTCCAGAGATGGGTTAACAGTGCTCTTGAGAGACCAGGTCAATACTTTGAGCTATGGGGGACATCCATTCAAATCACCACAGAAATTTATCTGACAGAAGTTCTCTAATAACCACCGCCTTCCAGGGGTTCCCACTCGACTCTTCCTTGTGGCCTACAAGTCCTCGGGGTTGGCATCTTCAGCATCTCAACGAGGCTCAGTGATTCTCACTAGTGATGTAAGCCATGTGTAGGATGGAACTGGAATTTCTTATCTCTTTCTTCTCCAGTGAAAGACTTGAAGCCTTTAGAAAACCATTCAGTTGAGCTGAGACATAACAGGTCCATAAATATGTGCCTTCCAAATGGTGTGAATTATATTTTTTGTTTTATTTTAATGTTTGGCCATTATTATTTTGGAACTGTTTGCTATTTTAACTTATCCACATTACTATAATATCCTCTTCAATATTGTTAAGATGCTGAATGTTGGAGCTTTGGGAGAATCTTTAGACAAAGAAGGATATTCTAGAAATAAGAAAAAAGCTGCAAAGTCTTGACTTAGTCACAAAGAGTGGAGGAGAACTTCAGGTAGTGATGGCCATCACCGTGAAGAGTGATACCTGTCATAGTCTAGAGGGCACCAGAGCACTGCCAAACAGGAGCACGGGATGAGCCCAGAAGGGAGTGTGAGTGTGATCACTGCAAATCAGCTGAACTTCACAAGGCTCCACGAATCGCATAAGGAAAGGAAATCCAGAGTCCAGAACAAAGATCTCTGAAAATAAAAGCATAGGAAAATTACAGACACACCTGCACATCCATGGCTCATGTTCACAGCATCCCAGTTATAGAGCAGCCTGGGTGTCTGTCAGCACACAGACACAGAAATTGTTGGGTAAAATGGATAGAATTGGAGATCATCTTGTTAAGCATACTAGGCCAGAATCAGGTAATATCTCATTTTCTTTATATGTGCATCATTTGTGAACAGTGGCACATGCACATGTGTGTGGATGCATGCCCAGAGACCGGGGGGAAGCCCTGCTCTCTCACACTCTGATGTGTTCCCTTGAGACAGGATCTCTGACTGAACATGAAGCTTGCTGTGTTTGCCTGGGGTGGCTGGTCAGCAAGCCGCAGTGACTGTCCTGACTCTGTCCCACCAGCCCCAGGCTGAGCACACAGGCCCACAAGGCCACACCTGGACTTTATGTGGGTTCTGGGGGTCTGAACCCAGCTCAGGCTTTCATAGCAAGTGTCTTCCCCACTTTGCCATCCCCCCAGAGGATTGTAGATTTTATAATGTATATATGAAAATAGAAATAAGGTCATATCTGAAAGAAGGGTGAAAGGGAGAAACAGGGGTCAGAGGGTCAGTGTGGTCAAAGTCCACGACACACTGGAGATGTGTCTGTCTTTGACATGCATCAGGATGAAAGCAAGACACTCCAGTAACAAAATGTCTTCCACGATGCCGTGTTCAGGTCTGCTTTCCTTCCCCTGGCCTTTCCGCTCCTTTTTTCCCATGGAGGGAAGGGCTCTTAGGAGTATCGTTACTTATCTTACATGAGGAACATGTGTTTCTGGAAGTCAGTTAAAACAACACTGGAACAGCTCATAACAGATATGACCGTGTACAGCCATGTTTCCTCTGGAAACCCAATGGTTTCTGTTTTAAATGATGTAGGACATGGAACTTTTCCGCCTTTTGGTCTTTAGTGGTCTTTTGAAGCATGTTCTAGTTCTTACTTAGGAAATATTTATTATTCACTACAGGCTGAAAAGCCAATAGTTACTTCAAAATACTTCAAAATTATTCTACTTTTATCTGAATGTGAAGGCAGTGTTTATATCTGTGGTCAATACACTGCAGATGCAGGTGCTGCACACAGCTAAGAAAGAGCAAGTTTTCTCAGGGTTTCAAGAATCAGAAGTCCTGCCTTGGTCTGAAAACCTGTAATTTCATTTTAAAAGGAAGGTCTCTGGGAGGAAGCACAAATATGCTCTCTTTTATGTGATTTGAGAGACAAGAAACAAACAAAAAATGCAGTTCATATGAGTTTGTTTGGTATCAAGGGTAGAGGGTTTGAGGGTCACTAACCTCAGCAGTGCATGGATTCTGTTTCATTATTGTAAGATTTCCCTAGAGATGGTTGATCAGGCAATTTGGAATGGCAAGTCTGTCCCCAAACATTGAGAATAACATTAAACATGCGTTTAACACCTGCTGTGTGCCTTCCTTTTTCCCAAACATGCTAAAGATACACAAACACATGTAATAGTAACCCAGTGAAGACTTCAGTGTTTTTCATGTGTATTAGGTAAGTCAGCCAAGGTAAGGGAAGACTTCCTAACGTAACCAAGGTCATACAGAAACTGTGCGTGGCTTGTGGATATCCACAGAGGTTTATTTTAAGAGATTGGCTTGCACAGTCATTAACCTGCATTGTAGACATCTATTGGGCAGGAGATAGAACAGAGACCTAGCAACAGTAATGTGCAAAGCTCTAGCATTAAGATTGGTTGAAGGCAAATTTACTTCTTCTAGAAAGACCTATGTCATTTTCTGTCAAGGATTTCTACTGAATGAATAAAGTCCATCTGCTTTACATGAAGGTAATATGTTCCATATGGTTCAGTAGTTCAAAGTGCTTGCCTCATAAGTCAGACAACTTGTTTAACAGCCAGAATCCACAGTGGTGGAAGAGAATTGACTCTAGAAAGTTTTCCTCTGAGTTCTCCACAAGCACTGTAGTATGACTGCTCTCCCTGCCTCTGTCTCTGTATCTCTCTGTCTCTGTCTCTGTCTTTCACACAGACACACATGCACACATGCATACATACATACATACTAAAAACAGTGTTTCTTGAATAAGAAAGAAGGTAACATGCTTTATTCAACGTCTCCAAGAATAAAAGGTAATATCATGAAATAACGCATCCAGGGTGACATGCAGATTGGTGTTTTACTGGTTACTGGGATACTATGAACAAACCAAGCTGACTCTGCTAACCATTACACCCATTAAATAGTTAAGATAAAACTCAAAATATTCACTCAAATTTAAAAGTTTCCATTTCAGAAGTCAGTCATGAGTTCTTTTGTCCTAGTTTCAACTCCAAATAGTTTTTTCCTGCTTTGTGGTGGCTAAGTGAATACACATGTGACTTTCTGTGAATGTGTAAAGCCCAAGCACAGCTCTATCACTTCAGATCGGCCATTCTAACTATACAGATGCTCACCAGGGTGTAAGGAGTTTGCAGCTGGCCTAGTGTGTGTGTCTTCCTTAAACCTGCTGTGTGATGAGTTAATTAGAATAAAGGTACTTAAAAAAAACTGAGAAAGGAATTTATGATAAGAAAAACTATGATCTAAAGAAAAACAAACAATGTTGAAGGGTGTTTTACTTCCTTGAGTCCATTCTTCCGGAAGGTGCCCCTGCCAGAGTCTCCAGCAGAGTTAGTCTTGTCTTCATGTCCACTGATCACAGAAGACCCAGTACTTAGGAAGGATTGGATGTGGTCCTGTCATTGTACGTTTGTTTGAATCTGCATAATGTGTAATTCAGGAGTGAATTCTCTTGTAAAATACAGGCTAAGAAATTCTTGCTGTGTCTCTGCAGGTTCACCTTTTATTAAAACAACAGCGCTCTGGGCTGGGAGATGGTTCTTTTGGTGAACTACCTACTGTGCAAGTGTGGAGAGCCAAGTTTGGATCACCACCAATCATGTAAAGGTCAGGTATGGTGGCACGAACCTGAAACACAAAGTGCTCGAGAGACGGAGACAAAAGGATCCATGGAGCTCATTGGCCAGTCAGTGTAGCAGAATCAGTGGGCTCCAGATTCAGGGAGGGACCTTGTCTCAGAATAGAAGGGGAGTGGATGAGGAAGACTCTCAACTTTGACCTTCACCTCTGCACTCACACATACACAGGCTCACACTACATTCACACAGATACACACACTATATGCACACACACTACACAAACACACTACACTCACACACTCTCACACTACAGTCACACACACTCTTATACTGGTGGGAGATATTGGTGGTGTAAGGGTTTATGCATGTGACAAGACAGGATTTCTGAGGGAATTCTCAGACCCTAATAATACTAAATACATAAAACTATAGATGGAAATCTTAGTCTTCATGAATGACGTTTTCATCTTTGGTTGGATACTGCAGACCAAAGTGAGCAGATCTGAAATGACTCTTGATTTG